AACGGTAATATCCAAATTATTTTATAATTGATTGATTATAGTTAATATTTCTTTTATCTCTCCTTTTATGAACACAGAAATATTCAATAAAAGAACTCAATAATAATTCAAGATAATATTTTCATAGAACACGCCCATGCCCTAATCACGCTCTTTCGAAATTATTTTTATAAACTGTCATACCTAATGCAGTGGACATGCGTTTAAAACGTCATTCTGACCATGAAATCCAGATTCAAATCTGGTAATGGTTGATTTGTGAAGGATGTGACTCCTTGGTAATATGCTGTCATGGGTTGATCTTAAACTCTGTGATGGAAATTGGTTAGGGGGGGAACACATTGGAAGCTACACTATTTAAATTATTCGGACTATTGTCCTCATCTTTGTCGCTATAACGTTTCGGTCGTTGTATGCTCCGGCCTTCTTCAGGTGGTTGGAATGTCGAACAGAACCATTTATTTCGCTCACTGGGGTAGAGTGTTCTAGTTCCACGTGCCATGTTTAATGGTTATGTTGACAAAGATGAGTACATTAGTCCGAATAATGTAAATAGTGTACATAATACCTCATCTCAGAAATATAGACTGATACTGTTTGGAAGTTGTCGATAATTATGCCAGCACGAATAGACAACTTATTGTGACCGTCGTTCTGTGCGTATTTGCATTTCTTCAAACTATTGACACAGCCAGATTAATACCTTCTTCCCCGGAAGCTGTAACTAAGGTGCCGTTCAACATAGCTACAGGATAACTTACAGTTTGGCTCTGTGTATGTTAAAGAAATCAAATGTGTCTGAGAAATCGTCTGCAACAGGGATTACTTAGCCACTCTACAGGACAGCCTACAAGTAACCAGTCATATTATACTTATATATCGATACTTTCTACAAATGTTTTATGGTAATTATTTAGAAAACAGTTACTTCACCAGGCGCCATGGAATATCTCCTAGTCACCAAGAAAGATCTCTGTATTTTTAAAGTGCATGACAGTCAATGCATCGCAGATAGCTTTACATTTACGTCTTTATTTCACATTTATTTTTCCTTTCAAAATTTTAATGAGTTTTCCTCTACCAACACTAAACGGCTTTTTAATTTATGGAAATGCGAATACATTTCATATTCAAAAAGTTTATTAAAAAAAGAAGATCCGGTTTACAGCCGGAAGCTGCCTGATAAAAAATGGCAAATGCATTACCACATATTTGATGTTTATCCGCATAGTACAAAAATTTCGTTTTTGGCAGATTGGTGGGGAGGCTTTTTCCTGATTACTCGAATCAAAATTGTTCAGTGATAAAATGCTGACGCACATCTCAACTTGTAAGTAACTATGGTCAAGCTGAAACTACTATGTGCAAATGGAGAATGTAGATGATATGTACATTAGCACAAGGTTTAGTGTCCTTAATCAATTTTTCCTTTTTTCAGGCTTTTTCAAGAGAATGATAAAATGGAGACGACTATTATTTCATTTATTTGGAAAAGGTATTGATTGCAAGAATAAAATGGGTTTCATAGATTTCCAAATTGATATTTTCCAAAGAGACTTCTCTCTCGATTCAATGTCAATAATTTTGATTTTCGAAGAATGTAGTTGAAAAGATGTATCGAAAATACCAGAATTTTATCATTGTTATGATTTAATTTGAATTTTATCAGTTTAGGTTCATAATGCCTGACAAAATTTCTTTGACCATGATCCACTTAGAAACTTTAACACTCATGATATACCAGTGAGATCTTTGTCAAAATATCCAGCGATGGGGCAGTGCATCGCGAGATAGAGATGTATGCATTAATCGAATGCCTATGAGTGAGACTCGGCTTTAGAGAGTTTTCGCATTCGTCTTCCCCATTTCAATTTCAGATTTCATAAATGTTACGCCAGTTTGAATGTCAACAATTTGATTCTATTTCTGTAAATACGAATGCAAATCTTGATACAAATTCAGCTTGTCCTAATAGATAATGAGAAATAAAAAGTTAATTGTAGTCTCTGTGAGTAAATATATATTACACTGACGTGCCCAAAGACATGGATCGACAACATATAAAGGAAATGATAGGTGGTGCCACTATAACATCATTCACGGGAATGTTCAGAATTATATTATTTTTGCTTTGGCATCTGGTGAATTAGTTTAATCAAAGGTATATAGCTTTTGGCAGAACGACGTGTATTATCGTATTTTGAACGGAGCATACCAGACGGAAGGGATTGCATATCTGCAATTGTGAAGATATTTGAAATGCCTTGATCTGAAGTGCAAATCAACAATAACTGATGCAAGTTGATATCACCTACCCTAGAGAGAGTAGAGGTTGTGAACAGCGTTGTCTTGCTAGAATTTCCTTTGCTAACCGACAACCAACATTGATTCATTTCATATTCGCATTCAGCTCTTGAGGTATGAAACACATAACGAGCAAAATATTTCAGTGTTCTTTAATTTCCTTGGGAAAGATGGACAGGAGAGCCATCATTGTGTCTCTCTTAGCACATCATACCACCATTCTCAATACCTAACTTGGGCATTGGAGAGTGCATGACTCGCAGCCTGTAGCGTTGTCCGATGATTCACAGTTCCTGTTGTTTCAAGTTGATTGTTGGAATACAGTGTGACAAGGTACCCAGCATAATGTTGATGGTTCCATTACAGTGTGGTGTGTGTAATCTAGACATGAGTTGGGTTTGTTTGTCTGCATAAACATATTACTGACCAGCCAATGCTACACTGCAGTGTTTCCCATGAACATAATGTAAATAGAAACATAGAAATATCTTCTATAAGAAATTTAGTACTAAAAAGAACATCTGTGGTGTTCGTAAAACTGAGGAAAATCGTCTAAAATCTTTTTGGGCGACTATTTTAGTTAGGAAATTAAAAAAAGAAACGTTCAATATAAAACTTTTTTCTGGAAACTCTATATATCGTTGTATATGAAACCAACTTTATTTTTTCGTTATTTTTAAGCGCAATGTTGATCGCTAATCACTTTATAAAAATATGACAAATCTAATAACTTTAGACCGTGTTTTTATTACAAAAAGAATATTTTCCTTTACCTCAAGTAAAAACAAAAAAGATGTGCAAGTGGTGTAGTGGTTAACAGCGTAAAAAGTGCGATTGGTATTTAGATTTCAAATTCTTATCGAGGCCGGATAATTACATTTGAAAGAGATAAATCGACCAGTTCTCCCCTTGCAATGGGTTAATAATAGGACAGATTGCATTCTCTAGCTTCAGTTAGCAACATGTTTAGAAGAATAACTCTAAATTCAAATCCAGTAGGGTGTGGCAGTTGCAACTTCACCAAGTAAAAAAATAAAAACATTTGCTACTGAAACCAGAGCAGCAGCAGTACGATGGTGCGTGTGTGGCCCTATATTCCACAAGGAAGACTTCAGGGTTAACATCGATTACTATTTGAAATATTTTCCCCCAACTCATGTCATCTTATATTAATCGTGTGTAAAATATTCTCAATTCTTAAACTACGAGGTTGGACTGAAAAGTTCATAGACTGATTATAAAGTGATGCTAGAGCTGTGAAATCTTGCATACATTAATTTCAACTCTTCTTATTAATACATGCCTTGTTTCTTTCCTGGTAAGCTGACATCTGACTAAATATTCATTTTATTGGATTTTTTTCACGGAGCAATACGGTGCAATATAAATGTAGATTTTTAGTGCCTTAGCCAAACTTTTCGCTGAGTGTGTTCTCCTGACTTACTGAAGTGGACATAGCAGAAAGTAAACAGAATAGATTAGATCATACATACAAATATTATGTATTTCATAATGTTTCATTATGTTCTCCTACAAATGCCGCTTTATAAGCCGAGAATAAATTCAGCGATGATATGAAAAAAATTAATCCTTAACAGTGGATATACTTTTAAAAAATTTAAAAGAAAATTATAAAAGTTACTTTTCTTATCATTAATTAATGACTAGATTCTGCACCATGTTATTTGTTTACTTTTTAATCCAACTTTCAGGTCACTTTAACATTCGAAAACCGTTAAGATTATGAAGAAATCAAAATTGAAATGAATCCTGACAATGCTACATGTGCATGGTAACTGAATATAATAAGTACTCTTTTTTTAATACTTCTATCTATTTGTCCCTTAAATCGTGCCAAACGTGGCTCTCCAAAACTGTGCCCATCTTTTGTAGCAATATTTGTCTTTTTACGATGCATCCAATTTCTATTTCTTCTAACAATCTACACTAGCTTGTTATATAAAGGGTGATTGAACTCTCCATTTTAAAATACTTATAATTTCTTTATTAATTATAATTTTTACAAGAAATGGATAAGAGAGGACAATGTTTAACGTGAGGTGTTATTTAAAATTCGATATAGGGACCAAATTTCGCTACCAGATTCTCGAGCCGCCTAGAAATCGCGTCAACTGATTTCACCAAGAACGCTTGTGGGATGGAAGATATAACTTCTTTTATTCACACTTCGAGTTCTTCCAAAATCTTAGTTTGTTATAGCAGACTTGCTCGTTTAACTAATCCTAAAGGAAAAATTTACAGGGTGTTAAGTCAAGACACTTGACTGGCCATTCATACATAAAGTAGGAAGTTATTTTCAATCAACCTGTACATTAAATGATGTTTCTCTCTGTCCCTCTTGCTTTAAATATATCCTGAGAGTGTCACATTCTTCAAACCTGCTTCCTGTAATATATATTCCAGAAAATTCAAATTTCTTTTTACAATTCTAAGTAGAACTTTCTTTTCTTTTCCAATGTTTTTAAACTTCCTTCTATTTCATATATTCTGTCTGTATTATTCTCCTAATTCTTACAGAGAACTATATTTTGTTGACCCACATCTTCCTTCATCTGTGAGGAAATAGTTCAGTTTTTTTACCATATAGGATGATCCACATTTCCTAGCATTACAGCATTATTTCCTTGATTCTAACGAGAGTTTTTCTGTTTCTTAATACTGTGTTTAGATTACGAATGACATCTTTCGCCGTTCCAGTGCACCTTCAATTAACCACACTAAAGGTTTCACATAAAAACACCCTGCAAAATAATCTATCTATCTATCTATCTATCTATCTATCTATCTATCTATCTATCTATCTATCTATCTATCTATGTCTGCTGTCTCTTATCTATCTATCTATTTACGTCTGCCTGTTTCTCATCTATCTATCTATCTATCTATCTATCTATCTATCTATCTATCTGTTTGTCTGTCTATCTTCTTGTCTGTTTAACTATCTATGTCCACATCTGTTGAGCCAACTGTGATCATATCGATTATATGTCTACATCTTTCAACATGATTATATCCTTCTTTATTCCCCTAGGCGTCTCTCTTATTTATCCATCTTTCGCACTCTCTATACCTATATTAATTGCTCTCTCTTCCTCTCACTCTCTCTCTCTCTCCCATTCTCTCTCCCTTTACCTCTCTTTTCCTTCCAATTTTTTTTCTTTCACTCTCTAAATATATTCAATTCTAACAGCCTGTCATCCTATAGTTATATTTCCCTATCACATAATTTATCTCATGATGTCACTGCATGCATATCTGCACACGAGCTTATTCATATACCCGTAAACCTGCCTCTGGGTACATATGAATGCACGCAATCTACTGTGTCAGCCAGCCCGTGATCATCTTTCGGCAGGCAAAGGAACACACATACCCAGGCATTTCTCACAAATTTGCTCGATGTGAGGAACTATGTTTTTTTGTTTGTTTATTTGTTTGTTTCAAAATTCCGTCTCAGGAGCGTGAAGTGAAGATGAGAAGATGGCATTGACGCACACACTCTTCACATGTCGTATTCTTGCTAGTGGGTGAGTTCGTACAACTGGCATTACATCTGACAGCTGCACGCATGTCAATGCCAGACACAGGCTGATTTATGCTTCGGTACCTTCCATCTCATCTTCAAGACATTTTCTTCTTCATATTTGCTTTCATAATTCTTTCCGTTTTTACGTATTTACTTCTTTTTCAAAATTTCTTTTCTTTCTTCTCGTTTTTTTCCCCATAATTTTTCATTATGTTCCTGTTTTCTTTTCGTTTCTTCATTTTTTAAAAAATCGTTTATATGTAAAAGAATCTTTCATTATACTTTTTTTTAAATATCCGATTATGTTTCTGTTTAAAATCTTTCTGAAAATTGATTTCTGTTATCACCGTAATTTTTAAAGTATTTTTTTATTTTTATTTAAACTTTCATTCTTTTTCATTCTTTACATGTCTGTGTATATTTTTTTTATTTTTTATTTTTTTCTGCTTTATGTATTTAATTATTTCTTTCTTTTCTTTATTTATTTCTTTTCTTTATTTCTTTCTTTACTCATTTTAACGTCTTTTTGATGTTTTCACTTTATTTTCGCAGTTCATTCTTTTGTTGTTTCTTTTCATCTTTTCTATGCTGTTTTTTTTTTTTCGTTTTTTCGTGGCATTTTTCCATCATTTATATTTTGCTGCATTTGACCTATTCGTTTGCAATCTATATTTACAGTTACTTTTCTCTTTCTCCGTTCTATAAGATTTTCATCTGTTAGTTCTTTCTTTCTTTCTTTCTTTCTTTCTTTCTTTCTTTCTTTCTTTACTCCAGCTTTATGCAACTAGACTTTCCGTAGCTTCTGCGCTTGTGACTGTCACAAACATTTTTAACACTACTCCCATAGTGACTGGACATGTTGATAAAAAAAAACCTGTGATCACGGAACCTTATCTATACGTGTACTTGTATATCATGGAACAATGAAGACGCATACATTCGTTCAGCTAGAATATATATAAAAATACTTCTTATATACACACGCAATATATATTTATATATATAAATGCGTATATATATATATGTGTGTGTATATATATATATATATATATATATATATATATATATATATATATATATATATATATATATATATATTTATGATTTGTATAAACACAAAAGTACTTGTAGAAACATATTTTGTGCACATAAACATAATAAAACATATACATGTGACATTTAGCCTCTTTACACGCGTATAGAGATGCTTGTCTGTGACTGTAATCCATCATGTTATAGTAAAAGACTTATATCAATGCCAAAAGACAAATTTGTAATGTCTTCTGTAAAACATTTTCAAAGTAAACATTTGCAGATATTCAAAAATGTAGATATTTACTAATCCTAACAGTTTGTTCCAAGATACGATTAGTATGTTCGTTGGGGAGAATCGAACAAAGTGGCCACTGGCTGAATTACTCGTATTTTTTTTTTTTGTATTAGGATAATAGGTGATAAAAAATTCTGCTCAAACATACACACACGCACGAAGACGCACACATGCACACACGCACAGACACAATATTACTTAGTCTGGTTCAAATCCATAATTTGCTAAGCTTATGGGATTAGACAAGAAACGTTGATTTTATGGTGACTTTCATGTAAGTCATAAACCCGCCTCTTGTTAACTATCGATATTTTCGTTTCCCAGAGAGAAATCATGAACGTTAAGCTAAAATTATAATGATGCAATATAATGACCATATATATGGCATAATGATGTCAGATATATAGTCATTTAATGAACCTGGATTCAGGTCATTTCACATTGAAATTAATGTGGCAAGATTCACAAGATCTTTTCATTTCAATTTTCTCACTGTGACATTGGTGTCTGCTAGACAAGCACAAAATAACTGACTTCTTTCTTGTCAAAGACAGCTTTTGCATTGTACATAAGCAAGTCTTTATAACATTTTTTCTGATTCATTCTTTGCATGACTGTTATTCTTTTCTACTGGAGGTCAGAATGTAGTATCGGCTCAATCACCATCCATATTGGTTACGCTTTCCGTTCGCGAAACTTTATGAATATTATCAAATATTATAGGGCAAGAAGGGATTGGAAAAACAAAAAAGAAAATTAATGAGAGTAAATAGGGCTGTGTGGTAGATATGTTGCAGAAAAGAAAGCAAGAGAAAGATGAAGAGAAAATCAAATGAAACACAAGACAGACAGACGCATACACACGTGCGCAAAGACACACACATTATAGCTTTGCTTAATATATATATATATATATATATATATATATATATATAAATAATTTGTGATTCTGTAGCGTCAGTCTATAGCATCTGATGATGGAATTTATTTTTCAAAACAGAGGATTCATTCACTTGAAGCCATTTTAGATCATAGATCTGAAAACCTGATATAGTTGATAGTTTAGACATTTCTGAACAAGCTGAATGCTATGCATGACATCCACATGAGGGTGTCGATCTGACGAGGTTATTTAAGGGCTCGACATGCTTTCACAATATTTTCTTCTTGTAGCGTCTTGCCGTGATGAACAAAACGACCTCTATCTTACCCTATCCATTTTTTTAATTTCTCCATAACCCCATATTAAATTTATTATAACTTAGCCATACACAGAGGTTTTTTTTTAGTGCGTACACTGTATTAATTCCACATTTATATGAATATAGGGCGGAAAAAGCAGGAACCGCACAAAAGAATTAAGAAACAAGTGAAACATTTAAATGCAGGTGGTGTTCAACAACCTGAATGTGCAATTTACATGGTGCAGTGGGTAGATTGGTGCCATTTTATATTTTGAATATCCGGAGTACACGTTATTTGTTTTTGTTGTGTCGACTGAACAGTATAGTAGAGTTATTTGGGCACGTCTCTGAAAAAATGAACACCATGACGCATTTTTACCCCACTTGCTTTATTGTTGGCTATAATAATAATAATAATAATAATTATTATTATTATTATTATTATTATTATCACCAGTCCCGGACGCCTGATGTGGAAAGAGCATGTAATGAGCAATACTCTTTTAATACCACCAGATACACATCATCAACTTCTTCGGATGCAGGCCGGATTTAGGTGTGGTTAAATATGTCTCATTTTGTTTTCCTAAGACGTTCTTCTTGAATCATGAACTTTGTCATCGTCTGTTATTTTCCTTTTCAAAAATGATTAAAAACAAGGGCAATCACAGATAGAAATGCAGTGCATTAATTTGTTTCTGTTAAAACATCAGACATATAAATACATTAACGATTTCCGTATTCAATTTCTTTCAAATTCCCTACAAATCTCACATAAGAGAAGTCGAATAATTCTGCAATGAACCGTGTAGGGAGGTTTAGAATATTTTTATTCGGTGTTTTGATTTGAAAATCATCCATGACATCAGATCTGATGTCATGGATGATCAGGCCATCCAGATCAGAATATCCACTTCTGAATAAAGAGAAAATCTTAGGAACAGGAGGCTCAGATATTGCACCATCTCTATAGACAGCACACGCGTTTTTGCTGTTTATACAGCTTTTTTGTTTTTTTACCTTTTCGGGGAAAAAATCACTTGTCTAAAATACGCCTCAGTTTCTTCTATTTTCACTTTTAATGCGCTAACAATAGAAATTCACAATGCAATGACGAACTTTATAGAAAGATACGTTGAATATACATCCTTTTGCAAATTAATTGAAACAAAACGAATAAATCCGTTATTATTTACTTTTTTACCCCAATGAAAGATGACCTAGCGCATATGTTAGCATTTCGTATGTCCATTCGATAAAACCGTTCCTTGCAGATTGACCACAGATTCAGCATTGGATTTAAATTTAAGTTTCTAGGCTAGTTTATAATACTTTGTCTTGTTCACTGGTAAGGCTTGCCAGTGTGTTCGTGCAGCGTTACAATTTTTGTATGATTACTTGGAGTGACATTCATGGCAGACATAGGACAACTAATCGTCAGTCGAAACAATAGTGTCTTGGGGTGATGACAATCTGATGCAGTTACGGATGGCGCACTATTTTTCAAGGCCACACAAATTTCAACATCCACCCCGAAAACAGATTCATGTTACTGCACACCACTGCAAATGACCAAATCTGAGAAAAAATAGAAATCGATTACACCCTGTCATGCCAGTGGGTCTAAAACTGATCGTATGGCGAAAGAAAGAAAACTAAAGCGGTTGTTTCAATTAATTTGCAAAAAAGATGTGTATGTATGTATGTCTTAGATTTTAGTCAAATAGTAAATGGAATTGGACGAAGCCACCGTCAGAAAAACTCTACGAAAATTTATTCTGACCCAAAAGGGACTATTTGACTAAAATAAAAGCATTTCTTTATATCATACACTGATGTTCAAATGTATATATATATATATATATATATATATATATATATATATATATAAACACACTCTCACACACACACACACATATATATATATATATATATATATATAAAAAAAGTGAAAAATATGAAAGAAACAGAGGCGCTGACTGGAAGATATGACGTAAGTAAAATGGCAAAACAGGTAGATATCAGTTAATAGCGATAAAATGATTAAAACTGATGACTCGCATGACAAAAAATAGTAATTAATAAAAGCCTTTTAATAGACAACAGCAGAAGCGGCAGAAGTGTTTAAAGAGAATATTTCATGTTGCCGACACAGGAACCTATGCGGTTCAAACATATGTGCCGCTGAGAGGCAAGATATATTAAAAGGCGGTACAGCCATATGTGTCTCTGACTCAGAATTCAGCAGTCTTCACCCTGCCACACCCCATCTACTTTGCTCAACTAACCTAACGTCGCACTAAGTTTTCTGCTTCGAAGTTACTACTCAACCCACGAAATGAGACTTGGTCTGTTACGAAAGATCGACTCATGAATATGATAATGTATTATTCGAACAGTCAGAATGAGAAATCGGTGAGCGGAGTTCGAATCCAATTCGAGTTTCTTGCATTCACTTTCAGCTCGCAAATATCCTTGGGAATGTTATGATACTCTCTCTTTTCTCCCCAGTTATTGGTTGCATATCATGAAAGACAGGTCTATAGCATTGGCTGGTACCCAGTCTACCACAGAAAAATATGGCATCCCTACCGAGGGAAAATCTTCTCTGTTGTCAGTCATGAGTCGAAATAGAACTTATCCCCATTCGTATATCACGTATGGCACATAACTGGCTGACGGAATGCGTGGTGATCGATTTGTGGGTAGTGTAAGGAATATCGGCGCGGAAAGTGAAATTTACGAGCCGAGATCAAATTCGGTGTTCATTTTCGCACAAATAGATTTGTGGAATGCATGAATCCATGTCTTGTCCTTGCTGCTAGCTATGGGTTAAACAGTATAAAATTGACTATACTCTCTAGACTTGTTTGGAAGCCTGCTGAAGAGAAAGAAAATTCCTAGCAACGGTGGAAAATGCTTCATGAAATCACTCAACTATATTTCCCAAGAATATATGACCGCAATGTGTATGACGATAAACTACATCCGCGTCCTGGGTAAGACGATAATCTACGTCCAACAGCAAAGCCTCTGATCAGGAGGATTTGTGGAGCGTGGAACCACCTCTTAATTGCTGGCATTCCCATGTTCACCCTGACCAGTGGTGGTAGCACCTGTTAGGGTCCCAGCTATGGGCAAATAGTTAACCCCGACACTGAGGTAAAAAACATTATGAAAGTATAAAAATACGTTTTAATACCAGAAATACGTTGTAAAATGTTCATTACCAGAAATAAATTTTTCAAGGAAAAATAAAATATTACCAGCTATATATTTTTGAAAAAAAATATTACCAGCAGTACATTTTTTAAAATAATATTACCAGCTATACATTTTGGGGGAAAAAATTATTACCAGAAGTAGATTTTTGAGAAAATAAAATATTACCAGGAAAATAAAAAGTTGTTGTC